TTGCTAGGGACTTGCCCGGCACTTGCTCTCTACCTCTATTTGTTATCTTTCTTCTATCATTGACAGTCCCTCTAGGTTGTGGGCTGCTTGCCTGTGTTCCTGAGAAGCATCTACGGTACCAGTCTATAGAGTGTGTTTTCTTTAGTGAATTACCGGTATGTTTACCGGTAATAAACTTGCACTGTTTTATGTATATGTTTGATTACATACAGCCTTGTGACAGTTTTCCTGCATGTCATAAGCATTTGAATATAAATTAAAATGTTAAAATCAAATCTGATATTGTTTTACCTTTTATTTGGTGTGTGGAAGGTGTGCGGAAGAGGGGGTAGTCTTATACGGCGAGTATATAACAAACTCTGTATTTTGAGTGGAAATGTTAGGGGGTCGTCTTATACGCCCAGTTGTCTTATACGCCGGCAAATACGGTATATGAGAATGCATACCTGAGAGAAGCTTTACAGATGTGAAGAGTATGACAAAGCCTTTAACCTCCCTATTACTGTACTCAATATTGGGAAATTTATAGCAAATAGAAGCTATATAATAAAAGCCTAAGCAACCCTTATGGCAGAACAACCAGAATGACTGGCTACTATGATGTTCACTGACCACCAGGGGGCTGATGCCCAACACAGGAGCTGCCCCTTGATGGTCAGTGCGCTCCCACAGGGGGAGCGCTGCTCAGCCAGAAGTCGGGCTCACGGCTGACGAGCACAGTGGCAGTGGCAGGAGCCTCTCCTGCCTCCAAGGCAGTGCTAAGGAGCAGCACGCGAAGTGCTAAGGAGCAGCAAGCAGGCAGGCGGTAAGCTGCAAGGGGTCCCAGACTGCAAGAGGGATGTCCTGCTGTTGGCTTAGGCCTGTCCTGGCGTATAAGACGACCCCCCACTTGGGGGCATATTTTTCAGGGCCAAAAAATCGTCTGATACGCCGGCAAATACGGTATATGAGAATGCATACCTGAGAGAAGCTTTACAGATGTGAAGAGTATGACAAAGCCTTTAACCTCCCTATTACTGTACTCAATATTGGGAAATTTATAGCAAATAGAAGCTATATAATAAAAGCCTAAGCAACCCTTATGGCAGAACAACCAGAATGACTGGCTACTATGATGTTCACTGACCACCAGGGGGCTGATGCCCAACACAGGAGCTGCCCCTTGATGGTCAGTGCGCTCCCACAGGGGGAGCGCTGCTCAGCCAGAAGTCGGGCTCACGGCTGACGAGCACAGTGGCAGTGGCAGGAGCCTCTCCTGCCTCCAAGGCAGTGCTAAGGAGCAGCACGCGAAGTGCTAAGGAGCAGCAAGCAGGCAGGCGGTAAGCTGCAAGGGGTCCCAGACTGCAAGAGGGATGTCCTGCTGTTGGCTTAGGCCTGTTCCCCACAGGGAGCGGGCCTAAGCCAGCAGGGGGACATCCCCTGAGGGGTCCTGTACTGTGAGAGGGCACTGGCCTGGCTTAGGGTACCGCCCCCCCCCCCGACTCCAGTGCACAAATTCTGTCCACCGGGCCACTAGTATAAATATAAAGAATATGGAAAAACTTCCAACCATTGTCCAAACCTCACTGAATATCATACCAGAGAGAAACCTTACAATGGAGAGAATTTGATAACACCTTTACCCAGTGTTGAAACCTTAATCAGTATCACATTATTTATGCTTTACTGAAAGAATACAAATATAAATAATCTGGCAAAACCTTTAACCATTGCTCAAGCTCCAATGTACTTTAGAGCAATGGTTGCCAAGCTTTCAGACCTCATGGACCACCAGTGGTCTGTGGTCCACCGGTTTGCGATGGTTGCTTTAAAAATTTATAGTGGAGAGATGCCGTACAAATATAAAAAGTTTAGCAGATTGTTTTCAGCATTTACTGGTACATCTTAAGTGCCACATGAGTATTTTTACTGGAGAAAAACTTAAAATGTTAAATAATATGCAAACTCTATACATGGACCTATAATCTTTCTGCAAATCAGAGAATGCATACTTGTGAGAAATGCTACTTTTGTAATAAATGATAAAAAGTCTTTCCTCAAAATACATACAGTGGGGCGTTGACTTACGAGTGTCCTGACTAACGAGTTTTTTGAGATACCAGGTGTCTCTCGGCCGATTTTTTGCATTGAGTTGATAATATGAGTTAACGAGCTCCTTAACGAGCTCGGTCTTGGAACGAATTAAACGCATAAATCAAGGCCCCACTGTATTTCAGAAAACCCCACAGCATTTGTACTTGAAAGTAGTAAGTCAGTAACACTTTTCAAATATGAGTTTAAATCAGAATACTTATTTTAAAGACTCTAGTAAGAAAAGTTACATGATTTTTTAGTATAAATCAAAATACTGCCCTAACTGGTTTGGCTCAGTGGATAGAGCGCCAGCCTGTGGACTCAAGGGTCCCAGGATTGATTCCGGTCAAGGGCATGTACCTTGGTTATGGGCACATCCCCAGTAGGGAGTGTGCAGGAGGCAGCTGATTAATATTTCTCTCTCATCCATCTTTCTAACTCTCTATCCCTCTCCCTTCCTCTCTGTAAAAAATCAATAAAATATATTAAAATAAAAATATATCAAAATACCAAGGGGATGAATATTAGGACAAATGTAATTGTCTCCACTGAATCCTTTTTTATTGCATCAGTTATTTGTGGCTTTTTAAAAAATATATTTTATTGATTTTTTACAGAGAGGAGGGGAAAGGGATAGAGAGTTAGAAACATTGAGAGAGAAACATGGATCAGCTGCCTCTTGCAAGTGCCCTACTGGGGATGTGCCCGCAACCAAGGTACATGCCCTTGACTGAAATCGAACCTGAGACCCTTGAGTCTGCAGGCCGACACTCTATCCACTGAGCCAAACCGGTTAGGGCTATTCGTGGCTTTTAAAAACAAAAGTATTCATGTGATTTCTCTCTCAATTCATTTCATGATCTTTGAATGCTTGTAATGTCTATTTCAACCCAAGACAATACATGTGCTTTGAAATACTTTGTTTAGACTATGTTTGGGCTTAATATGTTTATTAATAAAGATGAAGTAATTAAAATATGTTAACAGTGATGTGTAATGAATGAGGTGTTGACATGCCATCAGTGTTAATGTTTCCCACCTTATTCACCATTGTGGGTAACAATTTGTAATGCAGTGGAGTGACATTTACTCACAGGCCTTAAACCTTAAATAATGTGTAAAGAGTTTACCCATAATTTATTTTTTTATTCATTGTACCTGCTGGGACATTATGATGGTTACAAAAAAATATGTAGTGGGAATATTCTTGTGGGTTTATGTAAAAGTCTGTGGTGTTTCAGCATTATCATTTAGTCTGTGTAGTTAAGTAAAGAACTGAACTCCCATGAATCTCTAGTGCATACAGACACCAACTTACAGTGTCACAAGTGAATGTAAGTTTTGATATGATTTCTCCAGCAGTCCTTGTGAACAGTAGTCTCTTGTGCACCCCAGGGCCTTCAATTTGTATGCCCCTTATGTAAGGTTTCTGAAGAGCTAAACTTTGCTGATTTTGCTGCCGCTGTCGCCTCACCGCTCACCACCCTCTGCTGCCACTCACCAGTCCTGCCCTGCTGCCACCCTCTACCCCCCCCTACCCCGCCCCCCACTTGCTGTGGTTCCCCGTTTGAGATGCTGCGATTGGAGCCTGCGAGGTAGGGGTGGGGGGGAAGGACTGAGAGGTAGTCAATGTATCTCTTGGCAACTGGTCGAGTGGTCATTCCAGTCGTTATGCTTATGATCCCTGGCCTTATATAGGATTCCTGTGACTTCCTCAATTCCTTATCCCCCAACATGTAGACTTCATTTCCTTGTTTACTTTTGTGTACCCTTGCACCCTGTATAGTACATTCAGCCCTCAGATACTTTAACTATCTTGTACCTTGCAGTCCTTTTTTAAAACATATATATTTTATTGA